AGAGAGAGAATCCCAAGCAGGCCCCATGCTGTCAGCGCAGAGCCCGATGTAGGGCTTGATTCTATGAACCGTGAGATCATGACCTGAGCCAAAATCAAGAGTCAGACGCTCAACTGACTGAGCCACCCAGGTGCCCCTGAGCTGCGGCATTTCTAAACACACAAACACGTGCTGGCGGCTCCCCTTAGTTTTCCAGTGTCATCTGAGTCGAAGACAGGGATTTAAGGAAGGAGACGAGACACTAGATTGAGAGCTTCCAGAAGACAGAGTGTCTTACTTGTTCCAGGTCTGGCACAGTTAAGGAAAGTGTTTGCTGCAGTGAAAAAGAGGTGGCAAAAGTCATTGGAAACCGAGTCGATCTGATGTGTGTTTAAACCAGTCCCTTCAGCTGGTTTAATCTCTTTGGCAATTTAATCTCTTTGTGTCTCAGTTTCTTGATTTATAAAATGAGGGCCATAACAGTCCTGCCCTCATACTGCTGTTTAGAGGACTAAATGAGAGAGAGGTAAAGCAGATAGGACCTGGCCATCACGTAACAGGTGCCCTGGAGATGCCAGCTGGTGCTAGGGTTCTTTGTTGTGTGACTTGGAGCCCGTGGGGCCTCAGTTTTCTCATCTGCAAAATGGATGTAATGATACCTACCTCATCAAGTTGGAGTGAGCTTAACTATGACTCATTCATTTATTTGTTCATGCAACCGTATTTATTCAACACCTCCTAAGGAGTGAACATGAATAAGGTCTCTGCCTTCAAGCATTTTACAATCCAGTGGAGACAGAGGGATGATCACAAAATCGAATAATTAAATAAGACGATTTTGGACAGCCATCAAAAACACAGTATAAAGAAATCCTAGGGGTGCCTGGGTGGCTCAGTCGGTTAAGTATCTGATTTCAGCTCAGGTCATGATCTCACGTTTCGTGCGTTTGAGCCCCACGTTAGGCTCTCTGCTGTCACCGCAGAGCCCCCCTTGGATCCTCTGTTCCCCTCTCTCTGCCCGTCCCTTACTCTCTTTCTCCCTCCAAAATAAATAAACATTTTTTAAAAACCTAGCAGAGTGGTAGGAGTGAGGTGGGCCCATTAGATGGCATGGTCAGGTGAGACCTCTTTAAGGGAGTCACGCATTTGGGGTGTGACCTGAGTGTTAACAAGGAGCCAGCCATGTGAAGATCTGAGGGATTTTTAAACAAAACGTATGGCAAGTGCAAAGGTCCTGGGGCAGGAAAAATCTTGGCATCCTCAAAGGGCAGAAAATGGCCCAGGTGATTGGAGCATGATAAATGAGGGAGAGCGGCGTGGGATGTGAGGGGAGAGGCAGGGTCGCATTTGTGAGCCCTCGTTGGACTTCATCCTGAGTGCATGTTTAAGTTTCTTTTTT